TGCCTCAATGCTAATGGAGTACTGGGAACCATAGATCTTGTAAAACTACAACTCCTGGGAGTCTATAGCATTCAGCCAAGGCAGTTCAAGTGATGCCAAACTGCATTAATTCTACAGTGATGCACCCTTTGATATGAATACAACAAGCTCTTTTAAAAGTCAGTGTATATCCCATGTCACCCTTCTCCAAACCATTTATTTTAAAAAGAAAATGAATCGTAAGTCAAACTACCTAAAGCAAAAGCCTTATGATCCCCAGAAGAGGATTCTGGGAGCCGTCATCCCCCCCAAAAAAGGGGAACTTCCCCGGCTCCGGTCAATGCTAGAGCCCCGGTTTGCTAATGGCTTGTCAGTCCCAATCCCCTTGATTAATTTACAGGAGGAAAATGAAATGAGATGTTCCCCAGATGAATCGCCGCCGAGTGCCTCGGAGAGTAATGAAGGCCCTGCGTATAAATCAATAGCTAATCTGGGAGGAGAAATATGGGGAAAGCCAAGCGGCACCAACAGGACAATTTAATGCTTCAGCAGAACCTGACCAAAAGAGGCCTTGACAGCCTCACGAAACAGAGGCACCACTAAAGCTTTGTGAGTCCCCTCTACTTTCGTTCTTTTTCTTGGCTTCATCTACATTGCAGGATGCAGGCAGATGAAAGCCACTTGGTCCAAAAAGGCTACAGAACTTTGAAAACTACAACTCCCAGAATGTCATATCATTGAGCCATAGCAATGGGATATACTGCCTCAAGAGTTTAGTGGAGCTTTCTTCTCTGGATGTTTTTCAGCAGAGTCTGGATGGCCATCTGTCAGGAGGGTTTAGATTGTATCTTGTTGTATGGCAGAACCAGGTTGGACTGCCTGGCCCTTGGGGTTCCTCCCAACTCTAGGACTCTATGAAACAGAAGTTGGATGGTCTTCTGTCAGGAGTGCTTTGATGGTGTCTTCCTGCCTGGAAGAAAGGGGCTGGGTTGAATGATCCTTGGGGGTTTCTTCCTATTAAACTGGTGTCGAGTGGCATTACCATTCCACAGTATAGATGTATTCATTATGTGTGTTGTTCCTGGGTTATAAATGTCATTTCTTAATTGGTTCTATTATAATAATATGGAAAAAATTTATTAGACTGTGAAAACTTTATTTCTGCCAAACTTCCTGCTCTAGTTTTTTCATACCTTGAGTCTCAACCAATTTAACATACTGTAGTTTCTGTGTTGGAAATAGCAACCTTCTTCAAGCCTCTACTAGTTATTTGTTTGTATATAAAATGGCTCGGAAATTTCAGCTAATCCAGCGGGCGGCGGCCAGGATGTTAACTGGTGCTCCTTACAGAGAGAGGTCAACCCTCCTGTTCAAGGAGCTCCATTGGCTGCCGTTCATTTTCCGGTCCCAATTCAAGGTGCAGGTGCTCACCTACAAAGCCCTAAACGGTTTGGGACCTGCCTACCTGCGTGACCGCATCTCCGTTTACGAACCCGCACGCTCCCTTCGATCAACTGGAGAGGCCCTGCTCTCGATCCCACCTGCGTCGCAGGCACGTTTGGTGGGGATGAGGGACAGGGCCTTCTCTGTGGTAGCCCCCCGACTCTGGAACTCTCTCCCCAAGGACATCAGACAAGCCCCAACGTTGGCTGTCTTTGGGAAGCGCCTGAAGACCTGGCTGTTCCAGTGTGCCATTCTAGAATAGGAAACTCCTGGCTTCAAGTCCCAAATGCATTTTGCTAGAGATTCAGGATTATCTGCACATTGCACCTACCTCCAAATACCTCTACATATTACCTGTCAAGTTCAGCACTATTTAAATTTGTTCATTACATTTGGCCCGGCCTTTGGCTTTAATTGCGTCACGGTGTCATTGTTTTACTGTTTTTTGTTTTGCTTGATGTTTCATTATTTGCTTATGAGTTTATTGTGTATGGTATGTTGTTGTTGTCGGCGGCCTCGGCATTTGTAAGCCGCATCGAGTCCTTCAGGAGATTTTGCGGGGTATAAATAAATAAATATGGAAATATAGAAATAAATAAAAATAATAATATAATTAGGATTGCTTACAGTATTGTATATGTGTGTATTGCTATGCAATTTTAGCTTAACTCTTTGTTGTGGGAGGGGCTGCAGCCCATGTGATCAGAACTGGGCTTGCTCAGGATCAGACTCCATTTTAGGAATAGTTTGCTTTAGACTTCAGTAGGAACTGTATGCTTTAGACTTCAGTAGAAACAGATGTATGCTTTTAGAACTTAACTGAAGTAGTTAGTTACAGAGTAGTTAGACTCTCAGAACAGAGGTGCTTTAGATTATGGACTGTCGATTATGAGAAAGATGCCCTGTGTTACCTACACAGAGAAACCACTTCAAATCTACTTGTAACTGGATTGATATGCAAAGCACTTGTATGCTGAATACATGAAATTTGTGAGTAAACCAACCATGTTACTTTTAAAGAAGTCTGCTTATTTTTGTCCCTTGAGAGCACAATTTAAAGGCAAATATATTTTAAGGTTTAACCCGCTGTGCCCCCGGTGGCACCCACTGTTAGCCCCAGGGAGCTCCTGCTGTTAGCCCCAGCTTCTGCCAACCTAGCAGTTCGACAACATGCAAATGTGAGTAGATCAATAGGTATCGCTCCGGTGGGAAGGTAACGCCACTCCATGCAGTCATGCCGGCCACATGACCTTGGAGGTGTCTACGGACAACACTGGCTCTTCGGCTTAGAAATGGAGATGAGCACCAACCCCCAGAGTTGGACACGACTGACTTAAATGTCAGGGGAAAACCTTTACCTTTAGATGTTTTGGGGCAACTAAAAGAACACTTCTGAAACTCTGCTGAATACATATGTGTTCTGTGCATTGGGATATCTTTGTCCCTAGCAGTTCAGGGACATCCCTAGGTACATAAGTTTAATAGTCCTTGTATAGCTGATTCAAATGCAGCATTCGTTGCCCTATGTGATGCTGGGCCAAATGCGCACAGACCCCCAAGTGCAGTTGCCGTGCCCCGTGCTCATCCACATGCGTATATGATAGGGCCAGGCATGCCACTCCTGCTGCTTTGATCCAAGCGTGGGCCTTCTTCTGCCTCTGACGCTTGCTTGCTTTGAGGCTCCGCGGTTCTGGCCTAGATCTGCCAGCTGGGATTTGTGCTCCTTTAAAGCCCTGTCAAAAGAAAGCTTGTGCAGATGGTGCTGCCCCGTCATCCCGGCCCAACATCCCACCTTCACCATCCCCCGCCCCACTTGCTTTTGGCCCCTAAAGAAATGAAGCCAAGCCAAGCAGGGAGCAGCCCCTTTCAAACGCAAAGGAGCAACAGTCATTGGGGGAATGCAGTGGTAGCAATGGTTTGCTTTGAACCCCCTAAAGCAGGCATTGGCCAACTTGGGCCCCCCAGGTGTTTTGGACTTCCACAATTCCTAAGAGCCTCAAGCTCCTTCCTTTTCCCCCTCAGCCGCTTAAGCAGCTGAGGGGGGAAAGGAAGGGGCCTGAGGCTCTTAGGAATTGTGGAAGTCCAAAACACCTGGAGGGCCCAAGTTGGCACATGCCTTCCCTAACACAATCAGTTAAGCCTCCCAATGGGTCACAGTTGGCATGGTCCACCTTCTCCTTGGCTGAAAGTCTCCCAGAGGTTGCTCAGTCCAGTCCTCTTCTACCAGGTAGGAAGACACCATCCAAACCCTCCTGACAGATGGCCATCCAGTTAAAAATCCTCCAGAGGAGGAGGTTCTACCATTCTCCAAATCCTAGAGTTAGAAAGGGACCATCCCAAGAGCCATCCAGTCCAACCCCTTTCTGCCAAGCAGGAAGTCCTCCTGACAGATGGCCATCCAACCTCATAGACATTAGAAGGTCCATGAAGAATCAGAGCTGTGGAATGGTAGCTTGGAAAGGACCACCCCAAGGGCCATCCAGTCCAATCTCCTTCATCCAAGCCAACATGCAAATCCTCATGATGACATGTACGATGCAAACCCGCTCAACAGATGGTCATCCAATGAAGAACCAGGGTTGTAGAATGCTAGAGTTGGAAGGAACCACCCCAAAGGCCATCTAGTCCAACCCTCTTCTGACAAGGAGGAAGGCACTGTGCAAACCCGCCCAACAGATGGCCATCCCATAAAGAATCAGGACTGTAGAATGCTGGAGTTGGAAGGAACCACCCCAAGGGCCATCCAGTCCAACATCCTTCATCCAAGCAGGAAGGCAAACCCTCCCGGTAGATGGCCATCTAGTTAAAAAACCTCAGAGGAGGAGGTTCTATAATACTTCAAATCCTAGAGTTAGAAAGGGACCATCTCAAAGGCTATCCAGTCCAACCTCTTTCTGCCAAGCAGGAAGCCCTCCCAACAGATAGCCATCCGTTCTCATAGACATTAGAGGGTCCACGAAGAATCAGAGCTGTGGAATGCTAGTTTGAAAGGACCACCCCAAGGGCTATCCAGTCCAACCTCCTTCACCCAAGCAGGAAGACACAATGGAAACACTCCCAACAGATGGCCATCTAGAGAAGAATCAGGGCTGTAGAATGCTAGAGTTGGAAGGGACCACCCTTTTCTGCCAGGCAGGAAAGCACCATGTAAGCCCTCCCCCCAACAGATGGCCATCCAATGAAGAATCAGGGCTGTAGAATGCTAGAATTGGAAGAAACCACCCCGAGAGACCCATCTAGTCCTACCCTCTTCTGCCAGGCCAGAAGACACCATGCAAGCCCTCCCAACAGATGGCCATCCAATGAAGAATCAGGACTGTGGAATGGTAGAGTTGGAAGGAACCACCCCAAGGGCCATTCAGTCCAACCTCCTTCATCCAAGCAGGAAGGCACCATGCAAACCTTCCCCACAGATGGCCATCCAGCTTCTGTTTAGAAAATTCCAGAGAAAGAATGAGACTCCACCAGACTCTCAGGAAGTTCTTGGAAAGATATCTAAGTGGCATCTCTTTTCCTGCAATTTTAATTCATTGCATTCATCCTGGCCTCTGGAGCTGCAGAAAACAAGCTTGACCCAGTTGGCATTGTGTGGGGTTTTATTAATTTATTATCATCATTGCACAGGAGAGGAGTGGGAACACAAAGGGGAGGGAGGTTGAGACACAATCCTGAACAAGAAGAAAAGGGGGGGGATGCAGGTGGGGGTGCCTGACGTTACCCGTAACAACAGAGGCATGTGCTTTTTTCCGTGGGGAGCGTGTGCGTGCGCCCTTTGGGGGGCGTCCATGAACGGGCGCAGCTCCCACCAAAGAGGAAGGAAGAAAGGAAGAAAGAGGGAAGTGGTGACTCTGGTGAGTCTCAATGGCTGAGAGACCAGGAAAAGGGGCTCACACGCAGGACACCCCTTGTGCCCCTCAGTGCTTAGGCAGTGATACTTATAGACTATATTTATATTTATGTATATATATATATATATATATCTTATATATCGGTGTTATGAAAAATAAAATCCATCCGTAGCCCCATCCACTGAAAGATACAAGCCCAGCAAACCAAAGGGGTGAGGCTTAAGGTTGCTACCAACCAGGCCTTAAGTGGGCGCTTCAGAGGGCATCCAGTCCATCCTTCAGGGGACGAAGGCTGCATGCTCACTCCCAGCGGAAGTCCTGCCCGACAGTCTCGTAGAAGCGGACGTTGTAGGGCCGGTAGAAGTCCTGCAGCTGCTCGATGACCTCAGGGTCGATCTGGACATGGGCCCGGCCCTTGGACTTGCCCAGGCAGCGTGGGAGGCGGCCCCCCTCCGCCGCCCGCTTCAGGCAAGGGAAGCCCTTGGTCTTGTTGAAGTAGAAGTGCTGCCGAGTGACCAGGCGCCGCAAGCCCAGGAAATCCTGCAGCCTGGCCATCTCTCCGGATGGGTCGGTGATGAGCCGCTCACCACTGACAAAGTGCATCTGGGAGAGTGGGAAGTACTGGAGCCAGGCCTCCAGGTGGAGGATGTAGAGCCCGATGCGGATGGCGCTCCAGGAGGTGTCCACCTGGCCGAGGCTGCGATTGCGGAAGGAGAGGCCCTCGAAGGATGGCAGGCCGGGCGTCTTGGACAGGGTCTGTGTGTAGTCCGAGATGGCCCGCGTAACCGGGTTGCGCACCACCACCACCAGCTTGGCCTCCCGAGACATGTTGAAGATGCGCTGGGGGGCCTCCCGGGTGACAAAGTAGCTGGGCGTCTTCTCCAGGGTGATCTGGTTCTCCAGTGAGCGGGGCATCAGCCGCCTGCAAGCAGAGGAGGCAGAAAAGGGGAGAAGTTAAGGGGCAGAAGGACAGGCCCTCAGCCCTGAAACACCCCTCCGTGGCTGGATAGAAGGAGGGACTTTAAGCAGAGGCTGGATGGACATCTGTCAGGAGGGATGTCCGCTTATGCCAATCCCCGGATTCGAACTTGTGACCTTTTGGTCAGCAAGTTAAGCAGCTCAGCGTTTTAACCCTCTGCGTCACTGGGGGCTCCTAAGTTTTAAATATACCCCAAACCAATGGATTACTTAGTGAGGATATATCACTATTCCTCACTTTCTTAGACCTCACAACCTCTGAGGATGCCTGTCATAGATGCAGGCAAAATGTCAGGAGAGAATGCTTCTGGAACATGGCCAGACCGCTCAAAAAACTTACAGCAACCCAATGATACATCATCACTTTCTCTGTTAACAAGGAGCCTCTGGGGGCACAGTGGGATTATTTATTTATTTATTTATTTCTGGCACTTCTATCCCGTCCTTTTCAGCCCCCAAAGGGGGACTCAGGACTCGGCGACAATTCAGTGCCATAAATACAAGCAAACAACAATATAACAAGAGTTTAAAACAACAGATAAATCGTTAGGTTAAAAAACAGTTAACAACATTTGTCAAAACCATAAAACCAGTCCCTTGTGCCGGCAGGACTGATGACCAACAGGTCGGAGGTTTGAATCCAGGGAGAGCGTGGATGAGCTTCCCCCGTCAGCTCCAGCTCCCCATGCAGGGACATGAGAAAAGCCTCCCACAAGGATGGTAAAACATCAGAAAACATCAGGTCGTTCCCTGGGCAGTGTCCTTGCAGACGGCCAGTTCTCTCACACCAGAGGCGACTTGCAGTTTCTCAAGTTGCTCCTGACACAAAATAATAACTTTCTCTGTTCACTTCTCCATCAAAGTCTTTGTTTGCTTTTAGCACTTTAGGACTTTCAGTTCCCATCTGATGTTTGTCGCCCCTCCCCCCAATCCCCTTTAAATATGGAGAGATATACTGCATAATTGCTGTGTGAAAAACTTCATCCCTTTCCCCCTTTTTAATGCCATAAATCTATAGATGCCTCTGCAGATTCTTTGAGGCTCTTCCACAACGGTGTCCGATGACTCCAGATCTATAAATCTAACCAACACGTCTCTAGAAGCTTTCTTCTTCGGGGCATAATTGCTATCGATCCTGTAAACAGAACTTATATAAACCTCATCCGTTCCCACAGGTTTATTATCAAGATGGAATCTATTTTTGTTTATAGAAAAAAAAAATGCATCCTCTTGCAGCGTCTTCAGGCTCCAAAGATGTAAATTATGCCTCCTAATCAGAACGTCTATCTCTTCTCCATTTTCCCTGTTTTAGCTAAAGCCTTTCGAAAATCACATTCCAATAAAACTAAATGCTGGGTTTCCTTCCTCTTTTAGTTTGTCTCCACTCCTCATCTATATTGATACACATAATAAAAGTGAAAATATGTATGTATGTGTGTGGCTGGAGTGTCCACTTACATAGACAGGCTCCCATTTCCATAAACTCCCTCTAATCAGGAGACACCAATGGCTCTCCCTCCAATGACATTGCAAATTATAGTGAGCGCCATGAACATGTCCAAGAGCCCTGCCAATGTCCTCCACAAACGCCATACTACCCACCATGTGAAGTGAAGGCTTTCATATGGGGACAATGTCATCATAGGGTTGTTGTAGGTTTTTTCGGGCTATATGGTCATGTTCTAAAGGCATTTTCTCCTGACGTTTCGCCTGCATCTATGGCAAGCATCCTCAGACCTCACTACCTCTGAGGATGCTTGCCATAGATGCAGGTGAAACATCAGGATAAAATGCCTTTAGAACATGGCCATATAGCCCGAAAAAACCTACAACAATCCAGTGATTCAAGCCATGAAAGCCTTCGACAATACAATGTCATCATAGATTGCATGTGTTTCCTCCACCACAAGCATCCCAGAGCTTCTTACTTTCTCCACTGGGGCGGAATTTGCATGACCCCACCCACTGCCTCTCCCTTAACCCTTTCGTATTCTTTACTATTGCACAGCGAACAGAGGAATTCAGCAACTGAACATACTAGAGAGATTCGGGGAGAATTCATCATGATTTATAGCAGCTGTAGGTACTGGGATGTATAGTTCACCTGCAATTTAACAGCACTCTGAACTCCACCAAGGATGGACCTGGAACTAACTTTGGCACACAGAACCCTTATGACCAACTAAAAATACTGGAGGTCTTTGGAGGGATTTATAGGAGTTGTTCTTCTTCTATATCTAGAGCGTACTATGAACCCAAACAATGATGGATCTGGACCAAATGTTGCATGCATACCCGAAATGTCCTAATTTGAATACTGGTGGGTTTTGGGGGGAATTGGCCTGGGCATTTTGAAGTTACAAGTACTGGGCTTTATAGTTCACCTGCAATCAATGAGCACTCTGATCTCCACCAAAGATGGAACTGGACCAAACTTGACACACAGAGCCCCCATGACCAGCAAAAAATACTGGAGGTCTTTGGGGAAAATTCTCCTTGATTTGGGGAATTGTAGTTCACCTACATCCAGAGAGCACCATGAGCACAAACACTCATGGATCTGGACCAAACTTAGCACACATACCTGATATGTTGAAATTTGATTACTGGAGGGGTTTAAGGAGAACTGACCTTCCTTTCTGGGAGTTGTAGTTCAGCCACAACCAGAGAAACTGTGACCTCTACTGATGATGGACCTGGACCAAACTTGGCACACAGAACCCCCGTGACTAACTCGACCTACTTGAGGGGTTTGAGGGGATTTATTCACCATGGCGGGAGTTGTAATTTACTCTACAGTCAGAGAGCCCACTGATGGGCAAGTTTAGAGCAAACTTGTCCAACATAACAAACTTTAAGTACTAATGGTGTTTTTTGTGGTTAACCTAGCATGATGTGAAGGGTTAACTTGGCATTCTGTACAATTAAAAAAATGACTTTTTTCAACATCAGGTACCCAAGCTAGTACATAAATAAAATAAACATAATAGAAATATAAAAACAAAATATATAATAACAAATATAATATATAAAAATAGTATAAAATAGAAATATAATAACAAATATGATATAATAAAGTCTGGTTGTGTTGGACTGTGGGGGATGGTGCTAATCTCCATTTCTAAGCCAAAGAGCCGGCGTTGTCCTTAGACACCTCCAAGGTCATGTGGCCAGCATGACTGCATGGAGTGCTGTTACCTTCCCGCACAAGCGGTACCTATTGATCTACTCACATTTGCATGTTTTTGAACTGCTAGGTTGGCAGAAGCTGGGGGCAACAGTGGGAGCTCACCCCGTTCCCTGGATTCGAACTGCCAACCTTTTGGTCAGCAAGTTCAGCAGCTCAGTGGTTTAACCCGCTGCACCACTGCGGGCTCCATATAATATAATCTATCAATAAAAATAATTGAAGTATAATAATAAAAACATAACAAATGCAATGGAAATGTAATATATATAATAACAAATATAACAATAAAATAAAAGTAACAGAAATACTAATTATATATAATAACAAATATAATAACATAAAATAATAGAAATAGAATAATATGATAAAAATAATCATAATCATAAATCATAATAATACAACACTCCTCAATGGCTCAATGTGATGGGATGCTGGGATTTGTAGTTTTGCCAGGCCTTTAGCATTCTCTGCCCAACTACATTTCCCAGAATTCCATACCATTGAGCCATGGCAGTTAAAGTGGTATCAAACTGCATTCATTCTACAGTGTAGGTGCACCCTATATGTTGGAAAGGGTGATACTGTATAACTGCATAAAGGAAGAAATGCTACACTATTTTGAAGTATTAATTAGTAATCAGGTGCTCAGCCATCGATATGCAACTCGTGGATAAATACATCAATTAAAAAGCCATTCCAGATGCAGGAAGCGCGAGTTAATTAATACACCGCAGTGATAAATATGAATAAATAAGCAAATTGCCATGAAAAGTCAAACCCTTGATTAATCCGCTAATCAGATCCAAAGGCTGATCAGTTCATTAATAACTTTATCCAGGCTCCGCTATTCATTAGAATCGTTCATTTTGTGTTTAAATAATGTAAGGAATATAATGAATAAAATGCTTCTAAGTGTATTGAATTTAAGAAAATACTGGAAAGAAAGAAAAAAACAAAAAAAAGGTCTTCTAGGTAAATTATTTACTTGAATCTTGCTTCTTTGCAGCTGAGGGTTAGTTTGCATTTTGATCATCTCTGCAGGATGGATATTGCCCCCCAAAATCATTAAGGCAATTGTACAAAATCGCATTTTTATGCAGAAGGTGGTACGGTTTGTATAAAGCATGCTGCTTTCTGTGCTTCTGTGGATACAATGTTCAAACTGCACCACTTCCAGAGTGGAAATATCATTTTGTATAATATTTTGCAAAAAAAAAAGATTGGTCCTTAATTTCCAAAATTTAGAAGGACATTGACGAGTCCTTCATTGACCAGACCCCCAGTCCTGGGGGTCGTGAAAGGGGTGTCAGAGGGATCACCAAAGGCCATCAGAAAACACAGTATTTTCTGTTGATCATGGGGGTTCTGTGTGGGAAGTTTGGCCCAATTCTTTCATTGGTGGAGTTCAGAATGCTCTTTGATTGTAGGTGAACTAGAAAATCACAGCTACTACAACTCCCAAATGTCAAGGTCTATTTTCCCCCAAACTCTTACCAGTGTTCACATTTGAGCATGTTGAGTATTTGTGCCAAGTTCGGTCCAGATCCATCATTGTTTGAGCCCACAGTGCTCTCTGGATGTAAGTGAACTACAACTCCAAAACTCAAGGTCAGCGCTCATCAAACCCTTCCAGCATTTTCTGTTGGTCATGGGAGTTCTGTGTGCCAAGTTTGGTTCAATTCCATCATTGGTGGAGTTCAGAATGCTCTTTGATTGTAGGTGAACTATAAGTCCCAGCAACTACAACTCTCAAA